GCCTAAGATCCATGAGTGCATGTATGTCAGGCAAAGTCCTGAGAAGACCATCCTGAGGTAGGTTGTTTCTGCCAGTGTTGTCACCACTGTTGCCTGTCTTGGGGCTTTTCTGGATGACTATGGTAGACTCGAAAGAGCTTTATCTTGCAGTGCCACCCCCTTCCTGCTCTCTGGTGAGAAAGAGTGGGGTTTGTCTTATAGATTTTTCTTTCTGAGCTCCTTTGATCCCCAGGAGATATGAAAGGTATTGGAGATATAAAATAACAAAAAATAGGGAACCCGACCCCATGTAATCATTCTGTGAGTTTGGCTTTTCTTCCAAAGTCTTCCTTGCTCTTATTTATTTTCTAGAGTCTTCTTTTGGTTGTTTATGTATTATGTCCTTGGATTTTATTTGTAATCGGGGAGAAATTGGGTGGTGTGTGCTGACTCATATTATTCTGGACCAAATTCCTCTGTATTAGCTTTGATGCGACACATGATGAAAATTCCTGTAGTGTATAGATTTTCTGTGGACTTGTTTTCTCTTCTATGTTAGCTCTGTCTTATTTTGTTCTTTATATTTTCTTAGGCAGGTAAGCTGATAAGATAGTGAAAAAAATTATTTTAGATACTTAAGCTATTAAGTTAAATGTAATATGATGGTAATGATATTAACATTTGAAAATGTAATAATTTATATTCTATATATTTGTCAAATTCAAGGACTTCCTCTCAAACATCCTTTTCTTCCATTTACATGTAGATTTGACATAAATTGTTACTGAAGCAAAACAGGTATGAACTAGGAACAGCAAATTAGTTGTTTGCTGCCAGAAAAGCCAAATTGTGATCCACAGGATTTGTCAAGAAGGAAGACTTTATTATGGGTGACATCATCCAGAAGATAGCTAGGTTTGCTCAAAAGGCTGTGTCTCGGAATGTGTTCAGGGATGGACTGTTATAGAGGAATACCTCCTCCAAAGTTTTTAATCAGGTCGTATATGCAAATGAAGGATTGAAACTTTCGCAGCTCTGTTAAGTCCAGCTGGTTCCTTATTGAAACTGCTGCTGCCTGTCGCTCTGCTGCAGCCAGCATCCTCACTCTCCTTGTCATGAGGGTCAGACTTAGGATGTCGGCCTTCCCTGGGCAAATGCACCTCGCGCTTGCTGGTTCCAAAATGCTATACCTGTCTTGTTAATTGGTTATCTTCTTTACCTCAGATGGTTCCTTCTTTCTCTTCTCATTTGACTCACATTCCTAAACTGTGAACTTACCCTTGACCTCTCACAGTGCTCTTCCTTATCTACCACAGTGTTTTCCTTTGCCATTGCTGTGTAAATGACTCTCCAGCCGGTACATCTGGCTCATTGTCCTAATCTTTTGTTAAACATTCCCATATCCCAGGTATGGGACACCTCTACCTAACTTTGCCTTTAAGCAAGTAAGGACAAAACGGAATTTCCCAGCTTTCCCTTCGATTTTATTATTACTTTTTAAATGTAGTCCTTGTGGGGACTACATTGAAAAACTTTAGAATCATTTCGTCAATTATCATTGAATTTTTTTTTCCCTCTGTATCACACCAGTCAACTTTGGTCCTTTAAGTCCCTTTTCTGCCACCATTCTCCTACTTCAGACCGTCTTTATTTTGTGCCTTTTGTTCCTTTTTCTTTTGGTTTTAAGTTTATTTTATGAAAGTAATAATACATAGAAGAAAAATAGAAAATGTAGGTGAATAAAACGAAGAAAAAGTATTTCTATCCACCCAATGGAGTTAACTAGTATATATCTTTGATGTGTATCCTTCTAGACTTTTCCATATTGATACACAGCTGTAAATACATTTTATAAATCAAGAGGGATTATATAGTTTTATACCATTTTAGAAACTAATTTTTTTCACTTAATATGTAACTTTAATTAAAAAAAAAAAAACCTCAGCATTATATCAACTCTTTGATAATAGAACCTCACATTTCTGTCAATTGATCGTCCCAGGATTTACTTACTATCCTTTCATGGCCTTGCTTAGAACGTTTCTGTGGCACAACATTGCTTACCAAATGAGTTTCATGTTTATTAACCTAACACTCGAGAGTCATAGGCTACGCCGTTTCAGAATATCAGGGAAGAGATGAAAATGTAATGGTAAGGACCACTGGTAGAACAAAGGTGTTCCTATCCATCTCTGAGTAGCCATGGCTACTTATTGTTATGTTTTAAGTTAATACCAAAGGACGACTGCATTAACCAGGCTTGGAGAGGAGGAAATTGGGGTATGGTTTGGGGGTTGAGAAAAGAATCTTTCTGGAAGAAGAAGGAACACAAGTGAAGTCAAAGGTCTAGAGAGACTAAAAAGTGCAGGACTTGATGAAAGAAATAAAAGAAGTTGAGTGCAGCCGACTGCTGTTGTGACTGAGGGACTTGTGGGTGACAGCAGAGGATGTCAATGGGGGCTAGTCCTCTTGCCTGGAGTCTTTCAAAGCCCTGTTTAATTATTGCCTTTCCATGCGGCTGTACTTTTTTCAGCCAGGAGAAACCTGTGTCTGTGAACAGTCGTGGCACTTAATCATGCTTTTTTAAAGATACCTTTTTTGTTCTGCCTATAAAGCAGTCATTATTTGTTTAATTTGTGTTTCACAATTTCTTAGAAGGAGGGATATACTTGAGCATCTATTCCCCTGTGTGTTGTGGTTGGTGGTCAATAGCTGTCCACAGAAATAGTGAACAGATTAATAAGTTCATATAGCAGATACTTTATAAAAAGGAAGAGAAGTGGGACCAGCGGTTAGCATAATGGCTATGTCGCTGGACTCCCACGTAGTCGACCGCAGTTCGAGTCCCAGACCCGGCAGCTTAAATTCATGCCGGGCGTGTGTGCATGCATGCCCAAGATCCCGAGAGGAGAATGGAGGAGAAGGGATTGCGGCGTGGCCATCCCCCTGGGGGTGATTTCTCGCTTTCTATCTCTCTGTCTCTCTCTGTCTGTCTGACGAGCGCATGTGTCCTATAGCAAAAACCTCTCCAAAAAAAGAAAAAAGGAAAAAAAAAAAGGAAGAAAAGTTACTCATGGTCATTTCATTCATTCTTCCCAAGCACAGCAGGAAAAACAGAGATATGCATAATAGACAGAAATAATATTCCTTTGAAGAGTCTAATGTTACCTTCTCCAGTAAGCTCTTGTAACTCACAATGCATTCTCTATCTGTAAAGTTCCACATCTATAAAACTGATGGAATGTGAATCCCTTGAGGTACGTGATGTTTTAACAGTATGTAATATATTACTTCTAATATAGCAGACAACATGCAAATTACATTGCATTATAATACAGTGATCTCCCAAGGCCACTAGGTCTTAATAAAAAATACTGCATTAGTATAATACACTTTCTTTTGAGTATTTACATTTAATAAATATTCTTCACAAATCTATTCAGCAAATACAGTGAATGGAGATGAAGTACAATTTTGCTTTATGAAGCCTTCTTCTAAGGTGCCTTTGGGAACTCTCTTTTGTAGTTCATATTTGAATTGTGCAATATTTTAGAAATGTAAACATTACTGCTGAATCTCTTGTACCATACAGTCTTCTGAATCTCTTGTACCATACAGTATTTAAACAAGCCTACTAGAGAGATTTTGCTTACCCATCCAAAGCAAATGCTGGTAGTTTATTATTAGTGCACAAAATGCTGATCATTTGTTATTATTATCATCATTATTACTATTGTACTTTACTCATTCAAATGTCAGTCAATGTTGCTGGCAGTGTTCTGTAGCATTTTAGCTATTGATGCATATCTTATTGAAAGTTTTCCAGTTCTCCAACTTGAAGGAAAATATGATTAGCCAAAACCTCTAAAGATGCTGAAAAAGAATTAGAGTACCTATCTATTTCTTTAATTATTTTTTTAGAGAGATTTTTGTTATCCAGCACCTACGCTTACCAGAGAGACAGAGAGAAAGTAAGAAATCATCCCCCCGCCCCAGGGCATGGCCACACCGCAATCCCTTCTCCTTCACTCTCTTCTCAGGATTTTGGGCATGCACGCACACATGCCCAGTGTGACTCAAGCACCAGGTCTTGGACTCGAACCACAGTCAACTATGTGGGAGTCCAGTGATGTAAACATGATGCCATCTGCTGGTCCCGAAAGTACCTGTCTTTTTTATAACTCAGAAACACTTTGTTTTCATGCACATTTTCAGTTTGTATTTTCTCTTTACTTGGTTAGTTTATTAGTTACATGTCTCATCATAATAAATTATTCTAAAACTTGCTGGCATAAAATAATATTTTTCTGGTTTTCATGGTTCTCTAGTCAGAGTAACACTAAGAAAGAGGACAATGTGATCTAAGTCATACTAGTGAAAGGAGGAGCATGCACCATGAGAAACAAGTTGGGTTCATATCGTACAGGGCCTTGAATGCTGTGATGAATAGCTTGGTTTTAATTTTGTAGATATTAGGGAACCAAAAACTTCTAGAAAGAGTGATTTAATTGGCAACATCGTGTAGGATGGATTTACAGTGTAATAATACATTGTTGACTAGGACCTGAAGGGAAGGTGAGGGAGAACTTCTTCGAATTTCTGGAGAAGTCACTCCAGAAGTGCATGAACTTATTGAAAGATATAAGAATTTATTTAAGTTTTAAAATTTGTTTGTTGTTTTTTATTGCCAGGTGGAGGGTGTGTGTGCTTGCCAGAGAGAGACAGAAGAGGGAGAAAGCACTCCCCAGTGGGTCATGGTTACACTGCAGTTCCTTCCCCTCCATTTCTCCATTACATTGGGATTTTAAGCATACACACATGCACATGCATCTGGCATGTTTTTCCAGCTGTCAGGGCTGGGACTTGAACTGTTTAGTTGGCCATGTAGGATCTAGCGCCCTTAACCACTCTGCTACGGGGCTGGCCCAGATAAAAGAATATAATCTAGCTACTTCTAAAAGCTTAAGTAACCAAAAACACGATTAAGTTATTTAAAAAAGCCCCACCTAATGTATTTTCAGAAACCACACAGATAGAAGATCCAAGAAAACAGTGGAGGGGGGAGCAGGAGAAGATGCTCAAGGACTATCTCTCAGTGGCCCAGGATGCACTCAGGACTCAGAAGGAGCTGTACCACGTGAAGGAGCAGAGACTGGCCTTGGCCCTGGATGAGTACGTGCGATTAAATGACGCCTACAAGGAGAAGTCGAGTTCTCACACCAGCTGTAAGTACAGGGTGGCTTTCGGACTGTAGAAACGAGGCAGAGTTAGGGCTAATAGGAGACTGATGGCATTTCTGTGGAGTTTTGAACCCTTACCCATCTTAGGCAGGAAGAGTCATTAAAGGTGAGGGCATACAACAGATTACTCAATAAACCCCTTGATCCCAATCCAGATAAAAGTCTCCCCTCTTGGAGAAGACCTAATCTTCCATCTCCTCCCTCTACCTGATTGCCTTTTGTTCACTTGTAAATTAATATTTACCTTTTTAGAACAAAGCAAGTAATTTGACCCTTTTTGCTACTCTTGTGCAGTATTTTTAGTGGGTAGGGACTGTTAACAATGGGCATAATGAAGTTTCTATTGACCACCTGTGTGGATTTACTCTCCTTCATCTCATAAATCGATAATCTGGAGCTGGCCTTGTTTAAAGCAGTATCCATGAGGGGTTCAGAAACTCTGCTTGAATTGTGAGTTCTGAGATAACCCAAAGCTCCATAGTGTATATAAGAAGACAGTGAAGCACCAGGGTCTTTATGACATTCTTTTTTCCCAAGTATTCAACAGAAAATTATGGAGGTTCGAAGATTAATTTTTGTATTTAGATATCTGATGAATTACAATAGAGCAATTAGAAAGTATGCACAGGAGCCCAAGAAATACAAAGGACCCCAAATAGAATCAACCCGAGAAGATCTTCTCCAAGACACATTATAGCCAGACTGACCAAAACACAAAGACAAGATACTAAGATTGGCAAGAGAGAAACGGCAAGTTACCTACCAAGGATATCCCATCAGACTAACAACAGACCTCTCATCGGAAACAATGCGAGCAAGGAAAGAATGGGAAAATATATTCAAAGTGTTAAGGGAAAAGCAATTACAACTGAGAATACTGTACCTGGCAAGATTATCTTTCAGATGGGAAGAAAAGACAAGAACATTCTCAGATAGATAAAACCTGAAAGAATTTACCAGCACCAGACCAGATCTCCAAGAAGCTCTCAAGGAAGTGCTATGTCAGGAAAATTAAATGTAGTCACACAGAAATATGAACTGAAAAAGTAAGAAAATGGCCAACTTAATCGTAGGGACAAGTCTGAAGTTGAATATTATATCCCAGAATTCAACTGGGAAGACTGAACCACTACAGAAGATAGATTAAGTATATGAGACTGAACCAGTGAAATAGCATTCTGTGACTTTTGACTAAAATATTGCTACTTTTTTTCTAGGCTTTGTTTTCCAGTTTTAAGAGTTTTTGTCCTGTCTTGAGCTGTCAACAGGTTCATGTACCTACTATTTGAACACGATACTAACCTGTTTCCAGGCTTTAAGTTTTAAGGAAATTTTCTTACCAATTCAAAACTGCTTTTCTTGAAATTACCAGCTGAACTTGCTATTGAAAGTAGTTAGATTATTTAAGAAATTGTATGATCAAGAAAATGTGGAGGGAAAAGGAATGGAAGACAACTGTAGACACCAGAGACAGTGTGAGAAGAGGGTGGGAAAGGGCAGAGGGTCAAACATAGGGCTAAATATATATATATATATGAAACTAGAAATGGAAAATTATTGATAACATGCATGATTAAGCTACTATGCAGTATATTCTGGATGGATAACCATTTTTTTGTGTGCTCCGACGATGATTAGGGGATGAATGCAAATTAATTAATTAAAAAGAAATTTTCAAGAGAAAAAAAAGAAAACTATTTTTCATGAAATTTTTAAAAAGGCATATTTGAGGACTGCAGTAAGCTATATAGTTCCAGCTGGGTGCCACTTTGTTGTAGTTTCATTCTACTCACTGAGGTTTATGCCTAGGGTCAGACTTGTGTTCATGGACATGTATATATCAGCTGTGCTTGCTATTAGAAATATTTAGATTAATTAAGTTCTTTAGCAAATAAATAAAATGGGGGGAAAGGCATAGAAAGCAACCATGGATACCAGAGACAGTGTGGGAAGAGGGTGGGGCACACAGATGGTGAGAGGTAGGGAATCAAGAATGGCAAAAATAACGAAATATACAGGAAATAGGAAATGGAAAATTCTTTGTTGATGATGACACGTATGTTGATGTCCTTGATTGAGCCAATATACAGTGTATTCTGGATGGGAAATCTCATTTTGTTTGCTGTGATGATGTACAGTGAATGAATGTAAATAAATAAATTTAAAGGAAAAAAAAAAAAGAAAATATGCACAGGAGCACAGAAATCGTCATTTTTAGTCAGTAGATCCTAAGCTGAAAACTAGTTTTTCAGCTTGTAAATCATTCTTTTTTTCTATTTTCTCTTTCAAAAGTATTCTCAGGATCTTCATCCAGTACTAAATATGATCCTGATATTTTAAAAGCCGAGATCTCCACTACACGATTAAGGGTAAGATTTAAATTTTTTTCTGTTTTTATTCTGGTGTTCTATATTGAACATATGCTTAGGATTTGGAGGATGTCAAATCCTAAGGGGCATTAGTGTTCATTTCTCATCCCTGTTCAGTGTAGGAAACTCCTCCACTAGCCCTTGGTAGTTGGACTTTCTACTTTGAAGAAGTTCAGTGTTTGGGGATGTCTTCTTATTGAGACAGAATGTGTTCTATTTATTGAGCAGCCTTCTTATTAGCAATTAGTAATATTGAGTCAAAATTTGTATCTGGTAACTTGCTTTCTCCCAAACTGCCACACTTTGTCCTCTAGAGTTTTGGCCGAGATGCCCTTTCATCAGACAGCCCAGTATTCAAAAATCGCCCACAGCTCACATCACCATGCTATTCCTTTTCTAGGAATAGTTTCTCTGCTATGGAATAGTTTCCCGTAATTCCCTATAAAGGGTTGTTTTCTGATCCTTGTCTTGCATCTTTTTGACCAAATTCTGTTAAGCCAGAGTTTATTTATCCTTCATTTGTGGAGTCTGAGAGACTGTTCACCGTGTTAACAAACCCATGTAACCCATACCAGGTCATGAAATAGATTAGTACCATGACCACAGAAGCCTCCATGTGTCCCTTTGCCATTGTCACCCTTCTCTCTAAAGGTAATACTAGTCTCATTAAGTCTGGAGGCTAATTTTTTGCCTGCTTTGAACTTTGTAAAACTGGAATGCTACCATACGTATTATTCAACGGATGTTTTTGCTCAGTATTTCGAGATTCATTCATACTCAGTTTATTGCTATGTGGTAGCCCACTTTTGTGTGTAGACCATAATTCCTTCTCATCTACTATTGATGTACATCAGTGTTTATTCCAACTTCTGATTGTTAAAGATTGTATTTTAACATACACATCTACTTACTTGTCTTTTGGCGTGCACATGCACAAATTGGGGATAGCTTTTCAGCTAGGAGTGGAGTTGCTGTGTCCAAAAATACACATATCAGTTAGCATAATGTCCTCTGGGTCTGTTCATGGGGTGATAACTGGCAGGGTCTCCTCCTTTTCATGGCTGAATATCATCATTTATATATGTGGAATCTTTTAAAAAAATAATTATTCATTTAATTTCATTTGTTATTATTAGTAGTAGTGGTATGTTTCACTTGACCAGAGAGAGACAGAGAGAGAGAGAGAAAATTAAAACGAATTATCAAGCCACCAGGTCCAGTACTCAAACCGCAGTTGGCCACATGGGAATCCAGTGCCTTTAACCACCACGCCACCTACTGACCCTTATATATGGAATCTTAAAAAAAAAAAAGTTAACTACGCAGAAATAGAGAATAAAACAGTGGTTTACAGGAGAAGTGAGTAGAGAGGAAGTGGGGAGATGTAGGTGAAAAGATAGAAAATAATAGGTATGTAGGATGAACAGGTTGAGAACTCTAGTGTACAACATGAGGATTATAGTTAAATTGTTTTGTATTAGAGGCTTTTGTTAAATAAGTAGATTTTAGCTGCTCTTGCCATGAACACAAAAACAACGGTGTTAATTTGCTTTACTATAGTAACTTTTATACTCTATGCATATCCCATAACATGTTATCAACATATATATGTGTAACCATGTAAATATTTTAAAATATTTATTTATTTATTTAATTTCATTTATTATTGTTATTTTAATTTGACTAGATAGAGACAGACAGAGAGAAAGGGAAAGTGAGAAGGCAAGCCACCAGGTCCAGGTCCACAAGCCGCTGTTGGCCATGTGGGAATCAAGCACCCTTAACCACCCACCACCTGCCGGCCCCAAAACATGCAAATTAATATATACAATTTTTTAAAAAATATACATTTAAAAATATTTTAGAAGATGCTGCCACAGGTTTTTTTTTTTTTTTTAACTTTCTAGTATCTTCACTTAAGGTGCTATCTTTTGTTATTCAAATGGATTTTGCTATATCCCACAAACTTTGAGTTCTATATTTTCATTATTAGTTAAAAATATTTTCTAACTTCCTTTTTGATTGCTCATGTAATGTATTGCTTAAATTTCAAACAATCGGAGATGTTTTATCTTTTATTACTGCTTTCAACTTATTTCTACTGTGCATCTTTCAGTTTAAACATTTCTATTTGATTTTTTTTATTGTGTCTAGGTACATGTTCAAATTCTGCACATTGGTATGTAACTGAACGATATAGTCACAGTATTTGGAAACTGTGAGTCTGAATTAATAAACTGTCTAGTTTTCCTGTGTATCTGATTCTTTGGTCTGGTCTGTACTTTTCCTCTTGGTTTTCAGTTAGTGCTTGACTTTTTACAACTGCTGACATCTTAACTAAGGGCCACACAGAATGGATGGAGAAGTCTCAAGATAATTCAAGGCTTTGGATGATCTTGTCATCCTCCAGAGAAGATGTAGCTCTGTATCTATGGGCAGCTAGGCCAGGGCAGATGATTTTAATCCAGTCTGGGTTTGGGCTGCCTGACAGCTGGGCTTCAGTCCATTTCTGAGGTTGGATCTGCTTCCAGTTGACTCTTTCTCTCAGGGCAAAACTCTTCAGATTTGCGACCGGACTCTTGGGATGCTTCACCATGGCCCGCTCACTTGATGGAGGCTGAATTCCAGGTCTTTGCCTTTTGTCTCAGCTCTAGGGACCACCAGCAATTCAGATCTCAGGCAGTCACTGCTTTTTCTTGACTGTTTTTCTGTTGCTTAGGCACATACCGCAGAAGGAATAACCCTTTTCTTTTGAATCTTTAACATGAGTTCTTGCCACCTAAGTAGTTCTTCAGTGCCTTCAAACAGATGTTTGTTTTTTTCCTCACATCTTCTCTTTGTTCTCGAAAAAGAGTGTGAAAAAATGAATTTACACTTATTGGAAGCAGAACTTTTTTTAAAAAAAGAATTATTTTATACAACTTTATTTATTTATTTATTTATTTATTTTAATTTGACCAGAGAGGGACAGAGAGAGAGGGAGTGGGGGTAGTGAGAAAGCAGGCTGCCAGGTCTGGGATTCAAACCACAGTTGGCCACATGGGAGTCCGTTGCCCTTAATCACTACGCCACCTGTTGGCCCTCAGAACAATTTCTTAGCTTGAAGTTCACAGTTTAATTTATGAAGTCATTGGTAAAGATGGTCTGTCATTCTACAGTAAATGTCACACCAGGATGTTATGAACCTTCTACTCTGTCAGTCCGTCCCTACCTCTCCGTACATTTCTCAAAAATATCAGGCAGTGCTTTTCAGATGCCTTAGTACTCAGTCTCTGTACATTTCCAAGATCTGCTAGGCTAGACACTTTATTTCAGAAAAAGAAATAAAGGTACTTTTGTCAAAACTTACTCTTAATATACTCTCGTACTTTAGCTGGGCACATCTCAAGAAATGATTACTTCTTATTGCCCTTGGAAACCTTAACCATTTCCACAGTTCTTATACTTGTTAGACACATTGTAAATGGATACTCCAGTAAGCAATTATAGTCGGTTCATTTAAAAATATTTTCTAACTTCCTTTTTGATTGCTCATGTAATGTATTGCTTAAATTTCAAACAATCGGAGATGTTTTATCTTTTATTACTGCTTTCAACTTATTTCTACTGTGCATCTTTCAGTTTAAACATTTCTATTTGATTTTTTTTATTGTGTCTAGGTACATGTTCAAATTCTGCACATTGGTATGTAACTGAACGATATAGTCACAGTATTTGGAAACTGTGAGTCTGAATTAATAAACTGTCTAGTTTTCCTGTGTATCTGATTCTTTGGTCTGGTCTGTACTTTTCCTCTTGGTTTTCAGTTAGTGCTTGACTTTTTACAACTGCTGACATCTTAACTAAGGGCCACACAGAATGGATGGAGAAGTCTCAAGATAATTCAAGGCTTTGGATGATCTTGTCATCCTCCAGAGAAGATGTAGCTCTGTATCTATGGGCAGCTAGGCCAGGGCAGATGATTTTAATCCAGTCTGGGTTTGGGCTGCCTGACAGCTGGGCTTCAGTCCATTTCTGAGGTTGGATCTGCTTCCAGTTGACTCTTTCTCTCAGGGCAAAACTCTTCAGATTTGCGACCGGACTCTTGGGATGCTTCACCATGGCCCGCTCACTTGATGGAGGCTGAATTCCAGGTCTTTGCCTTTTGTCTCAGCTCTAGGGACCACCAGCAATTCAGATCTCAGGCAGTCACTGCTTTTTCTTGACTGTTTTTCTGTTGCTTAGGCACATACCGCAGAAGGAATAACCCTTTTCTTTTGAATCTTTAACATGAGTTCTTGCCACCTAAGTAGTTCTTCAGTGCCTTCAAACAGATGTTTGTTTTTTTCCTCACATCTTCTCTTTGTTCTCGAAAAAGAGTGTGAAAAAATGAATTTACACTTATTGGAAGCAGAACTTTTTTTAAAAAAAGAATTATTTTATACAACTTTATTTATTTATTTATTTATTTATTTTAATTTGACCAGAGAGGGACAGAGAGAGAGGGAGTGGGGGTAGTGAGAAAGCAGGCTGCCAGGTCTGGGATTCAAACCACAGTTGGCCACATGGGAGTCCGTTGCCCTTAATCACTACGCCACCTGTTGGCCCTCAGAACAATTTCTTAGCTTGAAGTTCACAGTTTAATTTATGAAGTCATTGGTAAAGATGGTCTGTCATTCTACAGTAAATGTCACACCAGGATGTTATGAACCTTCTACTCTGTCAGTCCGTCCCTACCTCTCCGTACATTTCTCAAAAATATCAGGCAGTGCTTTTCAGATGCCTTAGTACTCAGTCTCTGTACATTTCCAAGATCTGCTAGGCTAGACACTTTATTTCAGAAAAAGAAATAAAGGTACTTTTGTCAAAACTTACTCTTAATATACTCTCGTACTTTAGCTGGGCACATCTCAAGAAATGATTACTTCTTATTGCCCTTGGAAACCTTAACCATTTCCACAGTTCTTATACTTGTTAGACACATTGTAAATGGATACTCCAGTAAGCAATTATAGTCGGTT